CACTAGCTTAGGAAGGTTGGATTAACAGAACCCTCAGTTCGTGGAAGTTAAATCCGCCTTTCCCTTGGTGTTAGTGTAGAACCACTATTTCATACAAGAGATATGATCTCCCTTCCGTCCGCACACGCACACGTGCTCACTTACACGTACAACTGCCGAGAAATTAGCTTACTCTTAAGAAAACCTCTGAAATCCCGTGACATTTCCAGCCCTTTTGTCCAAGCAGAATGTTCCAAACTCAACCTCAGCATTTAGCTCTGGGCAAGATTTAGTGACTATTTAGCTTAGGGGCTAAATCCTATGTTGCTCGTCTTATTGAAATGTGGTTTTCCCTTTTCTCCTTCACTTAAGATCTGGAAACCCCTAAGGTGGATTCGACCATTACAGCTGGTGACATGCCGCTGCATCTCGGAGAGCTGGAGACCACATGGAATAAGAATGGGATGTTCAGGAAGAGGGGAAAAGTGGTCACACAGGGTGGATACACAGCAGAACTCAGAACTCAGGGAGCCTCAAAGGAGGTTGCCTTCAGCGCTGTGTTCAGGTCGAGAGTGTCTAAGGGCATGGCCCGATAAAGGTCATTGGGCTGCAGAGAGAACAGACAAATAAATGCTTCTAGAGGGGGAAAGGCCTGGAATTCCCAGCATGCCCTGACCATTTGGATTCCCAGCATGCCCCTGGCCGTTTGTCTGGGGCATGCTGGGAACGCCAGGCCTTTCCCACTCTAGAAACGTGCTCCGGGTTGCACGTGGATGCACCGAGGGACATGCACCCAGCACAGCCTCGCAGTCACATCTGCCCGTGTGCCGCGTGCGCATTTCCACACGGACCACCAGTGGCGAGTGTTTTTCCTGCCAAACCCAGCAAAGAAGCTCCACCGAGCGCAATCTCCAGAAGAGGTTAAGATGGCGTCTCACACATGTAGGCAAGATGCATGCAATAGCATGACAAATCCACACGAATCAGCATGTCTTGATTGCTAGAGAGTTATCTGGTTTCACATCTCGAAAGATCACCTGCTCCTGCTGAACTTCAGGCACAAAAAGGGGGGGGGGGGGGGGGGGGCGTCCTTCGGCCTCCCTGGCGGCCCTGTTCACACGGGAGTGCTAACCCCTCTGCCCCCCCTCGCGCCGCTCTTGGGTGCGCAGTCCCACAAACACCCCCACGCCTTGGCAAGCGCCTGCTAATCTCTGCAGCCCCCACACACCTGGGAGCTTCCTGAACCCCCCCCCCCCACCGTTGCTTCAAAAGGTCTGTCCGGAAGGTTGCTCTGGCGGCGGGGATGTGCTTGTGCGGTATAAAAAGGGCCGCGGTTTCCGCGGGGACCTCGCAGATGCTGACGGGGAGCGAGAGCAACGCCCGCGAGCGCACCTCGCAGCGACAGGTAAGGAGCCCGCCGCCGACCTGCTCGCAGGTGTCCTCTCAGCCCCCGGCTGGCGGGCGGGCACCGCGCAGCCTTCCTCCTCCGCCGGGCGCACTTTCCGCGGCGAGTTTCTCTTCAAAACAGCCTTGAGGGGGGAAACAAGCCGGAGGAAGGCTGCGCGGTGCCCTCGGGGACGCCAGGGGAAGGCGCTCGACCTCCAGCCCCCCGCGTCCCGCCTTGAGCGTCGGATAAGGAGCGCGCAAGCGGAGGCAGAAGCGCGGGGGTCCCGCGTCAGGAAGGCGGCTCGCCACGCGGCGTGGCCACGGAGCAGGCGATGAAGGCGGGATGGGGCGCACTTTTTCGGAGGCCTCCGGCCCAGACCCGACCCGACAAGTTCTCCCGGGCTCGGCCTTTCTGTCCCGACAGAGCAGGCATCTGCCGTGGCCCCGATGGCACAGCCCTTCTCCAGCCACGGGAAGGGCAGCCGCGCGATACCCGCATCCGTGTGCACACTCGTCTTGCGCACAGCGCCCGTGTGCTTGCAGGGTGGGAATCCCCTCGCCCGAGCACGGGCGCCTCGTTGCACCCCCAGCCACGGCCGTGGGGCTGCAGCGGGCGAGGTGGATCGATGCGCCCTCCCGGAGTTGTTTTTTGGCGAAGGCGCAGCTCTGGAGACTCAAGATGCAATTAGAGCAGTTCCACCTTCTCCACCCACCCTCCCAGCTTCGCAACTGCTTTTAAAGAGACAACTTACTGGAGGGGATTTATGTCCAAGGCAACTTTTCCGAGCGACGTGCAAATGCTTAGAATGCGGCTGATTTCGTTCTAGGAGGTACAGTCACTCCTACGGCAGGTATGCAGGTGAGAGAGCACCGGGGAATCAGAGCGACGGGAGCGGCTCCTTTCCCGAGGAAGCAGGAGGAGCGCCGTCGCTCGGCCAGGACAGATAGAAGCCACAAGAAGGGCCCTGCTCCGGGGTGTCGAAGCCCTCCCGGGGCATCGCCCCGAGGGGAAGGGCTTCCACCGGGAGGGGGTGCAGCCCCTGAGGGGTGGGAGTCCTTGCTGCAGAAATATGGGGAAGGGCGATGCAGGGAGGCGGCAGAGAAGAGAGGCAGGGGAGGCGCGGGTGCGTCCAGATCCGGCAAACGCCCAGTCTGAGCCACGGGGGGGGGGGTCCGGGGAGTATTGAACGCCCCCTTCTTCCACTGATTACTAAGGACACAATCCACCCCATGCTGAAATAACGGAAGAGCTGCAACATGCCCCACGGCACTCGCAGGAGACAGTTCCCTGGGGATCATGACCTCGCTTGACGGCACCCAGCCGCCGGCCGGCCGCTGCCTGGCCCCCTCACCGTGCCCCCAGCAGGGCCCCGCCCCGCACGAGAAGAGGGCGCTGGACGGATACTCCACTTCCGCGCCGGTTTCGCCGGGCCTCTCCAGTCCCCGGGCCTTTCCGCGCCACTTCCGTGCGCCTCTCGCAGCCTCCCGATCCACGTCCAACAGGGATGTGCTCGGGAGGGAGACCAGCCCCCCCCCCCGCACTTCTCTCCAGGACTGGGCGGGATCCTCGCGGCCTGGCCGGCGAGCCGAAGCGCCGCTTCCAGAAGCCCTGGGTGGGCCAGGCGCCCGGGCTGGCGAAGAGCGCCTGGTACCCGCCAGCCCCCCAGGGCAGCCCCCCCAGTCACTCGAAGCTACGTTAGCTGCGCCTAATTCAAGTTCGTCTGCTTCCCCCGTGGGTCTACTCTGTGCAGGGCTCCCACTGGAGACGACTGCCTGCACCGCACTCTCGCGTTATGCGAAGGAAGCAGGCAGGCCCCATGCCGCCCGGGAAGCCGAGCGGGGAGTCTTTCCAGCGCAGCGCCTGCGCCCTGGCGCTTCCCCAGGGCAGGCCGCGGGGCCCAGTGTCCATGGTGCTGAAACGGGAATCGGAGCCCCTGAACGCCCCGAGCGGCTTCCACAGCGGATGCAGGGCCCCACTGCCACTGAAGCCGGCCGCCCCACTGCCTTTTCCCAGGTGCGGGGGAGGGAGGGAGGCGGCCGCTGCGCCAGGACCGCTGCTGCAGGGCGAACGGGGCCGCAGCCTTGGGAGTCTCTGCAGTGCCAGGAGACTCCCGGCCCTTTCCCGAAGGGACTGAAGCAGGACGCCAGCTGCTTTCAGCCCTGCACCGATCTCTGGTTCTGTGTCACCCGTGAAACTTCCCAGCAGCAGAGGGGAAGCAGCCTCCCTGACTGCCTCAGATGCGCCATTTAGTGCAGCCCGCTGGGAACTCGTGGCTCGTCCTGCCTCGCATCTGGAGAAGAACTGCAGCAGCTTAGAAAATATATATACATGGGACAGTACATGGGAAATGATATGCGCGCATCCACCAATTAATGCACGGCACCTTTTACACAGAGGGTGCATGCGAGTGGTGGGGGAACAATTCAAAGCTCCCCTCGAAGCTCTCAGGCACAAAAACCCTCGGAAAACATTCTCTTCCTTCTCCATGTTGGCTGTGGAATTGACTAGACCAGAAAACGGTGGGTCCAGTCAGTTTCACTCCCGCTGAATCGACAGCTGCAGATCAGAATCGGGCAGCAGGAAGAAGGAGCCCCTTCCCCACACGCACGCGCAAAGGGCGATGGCGGTGCATAAATACTTCTATTACTTGCTCGCTTCAGAACCTGTGTTTCAGCACGTTCATTTCTGACCATCAACCTATTTGCCCTGGAAAGCATTTATGTCGCCTGGCCCCGCGAAACGGTTGTGATGATGCCAGCCTCGGCCCAGGCTGGAGTCGCGCTCCCTTCCTGACATGGTGACAGGGACCCCTCCTCATGGGGTAGGTGAGAATGCAGGGCCCCTAGGACCACCGCGGCCACCTCCTCGTGAGTAGGCAGGAGAAGGCAGGCGAGTGAGGGGCACGGGATGGCCCCTGCCCCACACGCGGGCAGCCTCCAGGCAGCTCTTCTGCAGAGCTGGGGCAGCGGCACCTGCGATGCCGGCACTGCCGGGAATCCCGGTGCCACGTTTCAAGAGCATGCAGCCATGCTGTGTCCACGGCACGGCACTTCCACGGGGAGTCATGCCTCAGTCGATGGGTGCGCGGCGCTGTGGGAGGGGGGAAGACCTCAGGGCAGGGACTCCAAATGCCCGGCTGAGGGGCCAAGGCTTGCGCTGCATCCAAGTGGGGCCCCACCCGCTCCCCTGCCCCCTGCGCGCTTCCCCCGGGTGGCCGAGAGCCACTGCCTGGGCGACGCACGGGGCGGGAGGCACCCGCGTCTGGAGACCCACACCCCATCGGAGGAGTTTGACTAGGGCAGACGAGTCCTGGGGCCGGGGCTGCGGTTGCCACTTCATCCGGCAGGTCTCCATGCTAAGATGCGTTCGTTGCTATCAAGTCACCTCCAATTTGTGGCAACCCCAGGAAGGAAAGCCCCCCCCCCCAAGGGTCCTGCCCGTGGGTTTTCCTGCAAACTCGAGGCAGTGGCTTCCTTGTGTATCCAACCCCTCACACTGGGTCGCTTTTCTCTTCCCCTGCCTACGACCTTTGCCAGCACCATGGTCCTTCACCAGGGAGTTTTGCCCCCTCGGGTTGCGAGGCTAAGATGGCAGCCAACTTGTGTCTTGGCAGATTCCCTGCACCTTCCCGAAGATGCTGGAAGCTCAGAGCAGCAGCCGGCTGGCCCTCCTGGCGGTGCTGCTCGTCCACTCGGTGGCCAGTGTGTGCGGCCATTGCTGGGAGAGCAGCTGGTGCCAGGACCTGGACACGGAGGCGGAGGCCATGGTAAGCACAACCTTCGCCGGCCTCCATTTATTTTTCTTCAGTTATAGTTTCATCCTGCCTTTATCCTTTCAAGAAACTCAAGACACTAGTCCCAGTTCTCCTACTCCCAATCTCATCTGCACAACAGCAGCCCTGCGAGGTAGGTCGGGCGGAGAGTCTGTGACGGGCACAAAGCCAGCCAGACTTCCATGCCTGAGTGGGGACCAGAACCAGAGCACCTGTAGCCCAGCCCCATGCTCTTGACCCATGCTGGATCTCAGCCTCAGGTGGCTCCAGTGGGAAGGGGGGCCACAGAACCAAGGGCCACCCCAGGAAAGCAATGGGCAGTCGGTTCAGAACGGGCCGGGGGAGATTATTCTCTTACAGTCACCCCACACAACTCCCTGCCAAGGGTTCCCCGGTTAAGCTGCCTCCAGAGGGGGCAATGACCCAGCCATGGAGCAGCAGCAGAGGTCTTAATGGCCTTGGGAACTGCATGGGACCTCCATGTTCAGAAGCAGCCTATCTCTAAGCAGCACCGATCCCGGGGGAGGGGTGGCGGAGCGCCAAGGGCCCCTGCCTCGCTGCCGGCTTTGGGCGGCCCACGCCTGGCAGCGGGTCCGCTCTGCTGGCCGCTCGACAGGCGATCCGGCCTCCGCGTGGTCACCCCGCCAAACCCCAGAGGAAGCCAGGCGCACGGACGCCAGCGCGCAAGGCACTCAGCCCCGCGCCCTGCCGAGGCGTCGGGCAGCGCGGCCCAGGGGGCGCGTGCTCTCGCCCAGTCGCCGGCGGGGCCCGGGCGTCCTCCGGGGCGGGGGCGGCAGCGGGCGGGCGGGGGGGGGGCTCCCTGCGGGCGGGCGGGGGCCCTCGCAGCGCGCCACGTCGGGGCCGGCGCCCGAGTGACGCGCGCTGCCTCGCTCTCTCCGCTGCAGGAGTGCCTCCGGGCCTGCC